CGTCGGAGGCCTGACCGGCGAGCGCCGCGGCCAGCATGTCGACGATCTTTTCGGTCAGCGAGACCAGGCCCGAGGCGGGCTGGAACGCAACGCCCGAGCGCTGCTTAAGGTAGTAGTTGACGTCATCATCGCACGACGAGGCGATGACCACGGCGTGGTCCTCGGAGGCTGCGGGCTGCTGCTGGTGCTCGAGCTGGCGCAGGTGCTTGAACACGAACTTCCAGTGGAGCTGCAGGTCGGCCAGGTTGAGCGTCGACGCCGCCGCGGAGCTCAGGTAGTCCCAGAAGTAGTTGCGCTGCTTGATGAGACCCTCGAGCGCCGACACGTCGACATCGCTGGCCGACACGAAGTGGCTCTCGATGCCCTCGTCGAGGAGGGCGAAGAAGGGCCAGAAGAGGGCGATCACGCCGTGCGGCAGCTGGCTCTTCTCGAGCTTGTGGTGGTAGAACAGGTACGACAGGCGGATGGGCGAACCGGCCTGCACCGCGCCGGCGCCGAGGTCCTTCTCCTCCTTCCGCTTGTGGCTGATGAAGGCGATGAGCGCGTTGAGGCGGTGCAGCAGGTTGAGATGGTGGCCCCAGGCCTGCTCGCGCTCCTCGGCGAGCTGCTGTCGGGCCTCCGCGGCGATGTCGTCGTCGCTGGACTGGAAGTGGAGGTAGTTCCATAGCTTGGAGAGCAGCGGCGCGTTGGCGCGCACGTCGAGCGGCTGGAAGGCCAGCAGACCCCGCACTTCGGCGCGCTTGCCCTCGCGCACGGCAGGGTCAGCGACGTCGCGGAAGCAGCACTCGATGAGTCGCTCGCGGCTCTTCATGACCTCGGCCACGAGCGGGTGGACCCACAGCTGCTCGACGGCCTCGGCGAAGATCGCGCCGCGCTCGCCGCCGAGCGAACGGAAGTAGCTCACGCGATGGTGGTTGTCGTGCGGGGACGAGTTCTCAAGGACGTAGGCCGCCGCGAAGCCGATCTCCTCGTCGCTCCGCTGGACCATCGCCTGCTGGTCCTTGACCATCGCCGCCTCGGCCTCGGCCTGGCCCTGGGCGCTGGGCTTAGGGGGCAGGTACGGCAGCACCGCGTCGCTTTCGCGCCCGTCGCCGTTGGGTTGCTTCTGGTCGTAGAACGCGAACAGGCGCTGCAGGATGGGCAGCGGGAGCGAGCACCGGACCTGCGGACCCGACGCGGCGACCT